CCTTTAGCACGCCTTTGTTACGGAGGGGCGATTTTCCGGCTTAGTTTGGAAGAAGTATTGTCTCAAAGTTGATCAAAACGGTCACAAATACCTTTGAAAAATCGTGTTTTGGGCCGACTTTAAGCAGCCACTGCGTTTGATCCGAGGTGGTATTTCGTACTCCCTCAACGGGCATTTGGTCTTTGGACCCTTTCCCTTTTGGGAAGCCTTTGTTACGGAATGCGATTGTGTGCCTTAGTTTGGGGCAGTATTGTCTCAAAGTTGATCAAAACCGAGTTTAAAGGCATTTTTGACTGTTTTGACTCATTTTGATCCAACACTGCTCCAAACTAAGGCACACAATCGCATTCCGTAACAAAAGGGATGCCAACGGAAGGTCCCAAAAACCAAATGCCCGTTTTACCAAATGCGATTGTGTGCCTTATTTTTGGGAGTGTTGGATCAAAATGAGTCAAAACAGTCAAAAAAGCCTTTAAACTCGGTTTTGATCAACTTTGAGACAATACTGCTCCCCCAAAATAAGGCACACAATCGCATTCCGTAACAAAAGGGATGCCAAAGGAAGGTCCAAAGACCAAATGCCCGTTGGGGGGTACGAAATACCACCTCGGGTCAAACGCAGTGGCTGCTTAAAGTCGGCCCAAAACACGATTTTTCAAAGGTATTTTTGACCGTTTTTGTCAACTTTGAGACAATACTTCTTCCAAACTAAGCCGGATAATCGCACTCCGTAACAAAGGGGTGCTAAAGGAAGGTCCAAAGATCGATTGCCCACTGAGGGGGTACGAAATACCGCCTCGGATCAGACGCAGTGGTGCTTAAAGTCACCCCATATCGCAATTTTTATTCATTTGTCGCCGTTTCGCCCAAATTCGCGACAACCACAGCGTCCAAACTACGCAAAGAAAATCCTCTCCTGAGCTAGGATTTACAAACAAGGCCTCTAAAGACCCCTGCCCTGTAGAGAGAGTGTGACTAGAGGGCCTAGATTTGGGGGCAGTGGCCGCCCAAAGTCAGCCCAAATCGTGATTTTCATAAATACATATTTTACCCCTTTGACCAATCTGACAGGCGGTTTTTCGAATTGGGGTGCTAAATAAAAATTTTTTAAACATAGTTTTCTGCATCGTCTCGTGGGCTTTCTTGCCTCTAGGTCAAATAGATAAAGCATTCTAGTGGTATTAGGGGCATGATTTCAACTTTGAGCAACCATTGTTCAAATAGTGGTCGGCAGGGCAGAAAATAAAAGAATACTTGATTTCATAATTTTTGGACCATTCTAATTTAGCCTCTAGTGCCCTCTAGTGACTCTAGTGAAAAAAGGAAGCGGCGATTAGGTCCCGAAAATGGGTTTTTTGAGATAGGTATAGAAATAATCAGCGAGACTCGAAACGCGCAACTACGATTTTTTGTGAAAAGGGTTTATTTTGGCCCTGTTCTCATAATTTCTTGAAATCTCTGCGGTCCGGCGGCCGGCGATCGGGCAGACGGTTTCGGAGCCTCCTCGCCCGGCCCGGGGGGTCGCGTTCTTGTCGCTCACGTCTCTGTCTATTCTCCTGCGGGTGCGAGTGAAACAAAACTGCACGTGCGGATGCACCTATTGTAAACCCCCCCCTGCCCCCGCTTCCTCGGCTGGGCTAGGCGGCGGAGGAGGGGGGGGGGCTTGGGGGGGCGGGGGTTCGGGTGCAAGGGGGGTCCCCACCAGGCCGTGGCGAGCCCCTCCAGCCGGGCCCGGGGTGATCCACGCCGTCCACGCCGCTGCAGGGCGTTTTTATTTTAAAATTCAAGCGAGGTCGTTCAACATTTTGCCGATCCGTTTGCGGGAAGCCACTTTTTAAATTCAGCGCGCATCTCACCACGGTCTCCGATTTTGGAATACTGTCCCGCAAAATGAGCTGCTGTGGCCGAAAACCCGTTGAACGGAAATGTTCAAAAAAAGTTCAAATGAACGGTTTGGAACGCGGCAAAAAAGAGCGAGGCCTGCCTCAGGGCATCACGAACGCGTCTGCCAAGTTTCGTGACAATCGGATCAAAAGTGAAGCCACGGCGACGTTACATTTGCATCGGTGCAACGCGCGCCTTGCCGCCCGCCGGGGGCCCGAATCCCCACTCCCGGCCGCCGGTAAAGCATCCTCTTAACAGTGGGCTCCTTTCCTTCCATCAGGTACCGCGAGAACGTGCGGAAGCTGCGACAGGCGCTGCGCGACCAGAAGGAGACGCCGCTGGAGCGCGCAGTGTGGTACATCGAGTACGCGGCGCGCACGGCCGGCGCGCCCAGCCTCCGCTCGCCGGGGCTGCGGCTGCGCTGGTACGAGATCTACATGCTGGACATCCTCGGCGCCTTCCTGCTCCTCGCCGGCCTCTCCCTGTGGCTGCTCAGCCGCATGGTCGTCACTTTCGTCGGCCTGTTCCTCTCCGCCGCGCCGAAGCACGCCAAGGCCAAGACGCAGTAGGCTGGCTATGACGAGAATTCCGTAGTTTGGTACGGGAGAAGTACACTCAAGATTCCTTACGGACACCATGTATCCGCAACACGGACGGTTTTGTGCAAGCGTAATTACGGATGGATTTTGAATGTAATACACTGATAGAAAAGATGCTGTTAATTAACAGCATATATCCTGTTAAGTTTTTTAGCAACACTTGTTGTAGAAGAACGGCATATTGTTGGACACTGAGTCGTTATCCAACAGCAGTGTTGTAAAAAGGGATGATGGCTCTCTGTATCTGACCTCTGACAATAAGTTGTTGTGTAACAGAATTACCATTTCCAAATGGCACCAACCTGTTCATAAACAACACTTTTCTGTTTTCAAACAAAGGAGTTGTTATACATTTACAAAAAAAATGTCGAGGGTCCTAATAGTCTTATCCAATACTAGCAGTCATTCAGAAACGCTCTTTTCTGTTTACAAACAGCACTGTTCTTCAACGCGGTCTCTCTGTTAATTCACAAAAAGGAAATAGGAGTTTCCTGACGGCTCAAACAAGACATTTGTTTTGTAACAGTTCGTGCAGTTCTTGGACAGTTCACCGCTGTTTAAAAATTGGAAGTGTTGCTAAAAAACTTTACAACACAAATGCTGTTCAGAAACAACAGAATTTATTTTGACATAGTTGGAGTTTGATTTGAGCCGTGAGCTGCAAAATGCTCCGGCAAATCTTCAATTGAATGGTGTTGTTTTTAAATGACAGAATACCGTTCCAAAACAGCATATATCATTAATTTTACAAACAAGATGTTCTGTTTTCCAGCATTGGAAATCGTTCAATAACACTATATTTGTTGTTTTCTCCAATGATGAAACTTGCTGTTTCCTAACAGCATTTGTGCTGTTTTAAGTTCCGATGACACGTGCTGCTTAAAAGCAAATCACTCGTTGGTAAATGTGCTGTTTTCCTACAGTTTCTTTTAACAGTGTACGGATGATTTTATCCGTAATACAAAGGTTTTCGTGTCCGTAACATACAGACGAAAATATCCGTATGGTATGGACGTAAAACTCTTTGTAATACGGATGATTTCATCCGTATTACAAGCAAAATCTATCCGAAATTGCAATTGCACAAAAATGTCCGTAATACAGGTAGGATGTATCCGTAAGAAGTTTAGTGTGTACACTGAAATTCGAAGGGTGAGACATCTGACCGATTTTCGGTGATACAAAAGGTATGACCGAAAAAGGGTTAGACTTAAATGTACCAAAAAAAGGTCAGACATTAGCGAGACTAGCTATTGTTGGCTGAGCGATAGCGAAGCCTGTTACTCCAGTGGGGTTGAAAAGTTTTGTCTGTCTGTCGGTCTGTCTGTCTGTCGGTCTGTCTGTCCGCACTACTCCTCCTGAACAGCTCGGCCGATCTCGGGGAGAATTTGCACACTTCTTAGGTATGTCCTTGGCTCGGCACACGCGAAATTTCACCATCCTAGCTCAACTGGTTCAGTTTTTATAGGCGAAAAACACCTAAAAAACGGCGAAAAATAGAGATTTCTGCAGATAGACCACTTCTGTCTTGGAGAAAGGGGGGTCTGGGGGGCGGAGCCCCCCAGCATTCAACAAGTTAAAAAATAACCGACAACGGACAAGCCATTGCCTGCCGCAGGCAGGCTAGCGCCGCAGGCCAAGGTAGGTACGCCAGGCGTGGATTGGAGGAACAGGCAGCGAGACATCGCGAAGCCTGTTACGACAAGACGCGGTCTGGCGTAAACCTACCTTGTTTAGCTTGGGGATAAATCAGCCTTTACCTGTGATACACTATGAAGTATGACCATTTTTCGGTCTTACATTTCAGTATGGCCCTTTTTCGGTCGTACATTTCTGTAAGACCGTTATAGGGGTCAAAAGTCTGACCTTTCTATTATCAGTGTACGGACCGTCAGTGCGCTTGAGGACCGCTGGAGGGGGACAAAATTCTAGACGCGTTTTGAGCTCTAGAGTCGACTCGAATCGGAGGTGTGACCCCACCAATGGATCCCTCGTTTGGAGAGCAGCCCATTGGTGGGGTCACGTGTTCAGTTCAAATCCAATTTTGCGACTCTAGAACTCTAGACGCGTCTAGAATTTTGGCCGCCTCCAGTCTAGGGCGTGGTAACATAACATTTTTTTAAGCGATTTTTGAAGTTTTATCTCGTAAAAGTCTAGAGATAAAAGAGTTGTGCATAAGATATCTTAAATTCTAAATGTAATTTACGTACTACGATGATTTTTTATCGCGAGGTATGCATTAATTGGCATATACGTAATATTGCTCAAATGTCTACGTAAGGTATGCATGATTTCATCGCATTACGCATGTTATCTTTATAAGTACGTCTGGTTTCTTCGTAGATCAAGGTACGAAGAATTTTGTCGTATTATTTATGTTTTGATTTACACGTATGTTACGCGTATCGTGTCATAAGATTTTTGAGGGTGCAAATAAATTGTTGTGACGTACCACGCTATCAAATGAAAAATTTAGGAGATATATTTATTTCTCGAAAAACACCCAAACTTCTTCTTACATGAGTATTGGATTACTGAAAGGAGTTAAAGGAACTTCAACTGCATGCTAGGACGCCAAATTTTAAAGGCCTGCGTCAATATCCGGAGAGAAGATTGGTCCCTTTGGTCTCTTGCACGGATGGAGAGGCATTGGAGTCGAGGAACAGACGAGGCTGGCCAGCTGAACAGCAAGCGCTGAATGTCTGTCCCGAAATTCAGCACAAGTTGCTCCACTGCGGTCAGGGACTTCAGGAATTGTGCTAAGGGCTCTGGCTGTATCGCCGAGAAGCCGTTTATATTAAGCGTCACACTGTGTACGTTGCGTAGGCTGTCCGACAAAATCAAATGTTTATCATAAGTACAGAAATTTAGCATGACGAAATGGACCTTCCCGGAAAAGTTAGAGTGGGCCCACTGCAGCCATTCCATCGTGGGCGGCGTAATACGAAAATGCTCCTGAATCGTTACGTACTGCAGGGAAGGCAGTTGAGGGACAACTTCATCGAGCCCGTCAAATGGCGAGGTGACTGTTAGATGAGTGACATTCTTGCATAGTACCAAATCCGCCTTCAGCTTGTTAGTCACGCCCATATCGCATTTGATCGCGGTCAGTGTGTTTCTTCCCAGGTGGATGAGATTACGGGCCATATCAACGCTCAGAAACATTGAGATGTCTAGATTCGTCAGGCGAAGACACTTGAAGGCAAAACCGTGACTTAAGCCCCGAACAACAGTGAGTGTTAACGTTTTCAGTTCCTTTAAAGCGTCAATGGCATCCAATGCCGGCACAAGATTACTGAAACGCACACAACCATTAAGTGACATGTTCAGTTGCTGTAGTGAGGAGGTACGACACGAGAGTACCTTGGATATCAACTTATTGGACACCGAACTAACTCCAAAGGCAAAATGCAGGAAGCGAATCTGTTAAAACACACAAGAAAAGAGAAACTTAATAAGGCAAGACTTCGTTTTAATGAGAACGGAGAGATTTCGGGGGGGGGGGGGGGAGGCGCTTAAGGAAACAAATATCAGATCACTTGGCACAAGAGAGTGGGGTGTTTCACTTTGGTTTGGTTATTGAAAGGTAAAAAAAGTGACTATTCAACCTTTCTTAAATACTTGGGTCAGATGTGTCAATAGACTATTTCGCTGGTTTCACTTCGATCCCTCGAAAAAAGAAATGCACGGGAAGTCGGGTCGCATCGGCCACTCAGGAGCCTCCTTTCATCAGTGGTAGCGCCTTCCCGTGATGAAAGGAGGCTTCTGATTGGCCGACGCGACCCAACTTCCGGTGCATTTGTTTTTTCGAGGGATTGAAGTGCGAAACCAGCGAAATAGTCTGTTTATGGGTTAAAGTTCCTTCCTATTGCATAAATTTATACACTAAGAGCGACTTGACATTAACACCAGTGTAATGCTGTACCTTGCATTTTCCTTCAGCAAGTGCCTTGAGATAAACGATTCCTTGAGTACTTGTCGGATATCCCGTCTCCAGCTTCAGCGTGTCCAGGGCCGGGGCGAGGCGTAGGATGGCTGCGTAGGGCCTCTCGTTGATACACTCGGGGACGTCCAGGCGGCGGTGGCGCCACAGCGGCTCCTCCAGGATGAGCGTCTTCCAGCGACGGCCCAGCAGCCGCAAGGGCAGCAACTGCTCGGTGGGCACGTAGGCCAGCACCGCCAGCAGCAGTTCGCGGGGCAGCGACTCCAGCGAAGGGAAAGACTGCAGACAAGTGCTTGGTTCTGGTGGAATGCCCGACTTCAGAAAAGAGCTCGACTCGTGTGAAGTGCCGAACTCGAGCGGGGTGTCCGACGGGGGGCCAGACGTACTGGCTTCCTGGCTCGACTTGGACCTCTGGAACAGAGGCAAATGTTGAAATTTGAAACTACTCGATCCAGGAACCAAAATAAAGGGTTTACTGAGTGATTCTACATCTAGGGGGCACAAGTTTTTTTTTGGTGTCACCGATCTGGACCAGAATTTTACATGTTAGCGCGGGTAGAGAAAGATATCCACAAATTTTGAAGGTCCTATAGGTCGACCCAGTCCGGAGCAGTGGGCCATAGTGTGTTTTGCGACTTTGAAGGTACAAATCGATGGGAAGGGCTTGACCTAGGGACTTGAAAATATTACCAGGTCTTGGGGGCCATGAGGACAACATTTTAAAAAAATTTCAAGAATTTTGAAAAACTTTCAGTTTTTGAAACAAGTTCTAGATTTCAAAAACATATATTTGAATAAATTGAAAAATTTTGAGAAAGTACCTCTTATTGGTCCTAGTAAACTGTACAAAATTTCAGCCTGGGCTCAGACTTGGCTTGCACTGTTAGAAATTAGCTCCGAAATTTTATGGAGAAAAACCCTATAATCACGTTCATGGAGACTCCATTCATTTTCCTTTTTTTTTTCGGGGAGATTTTCTCAGGGCTTATACAGATGTTCTTCGGAGCATTCCTTTGGTCCAGATGGGAGGTAAAATGCAAGTCTTTTCTCAGATATATTAAAGAGGACTTCGCTGAAGCATTTTTTGGTCTGAAATGGTCAAAGAAGGGACAATCTCATACGAGCTCATTTGACTTATATCCTGTAGCTCTCCCTTAATACTATGAAAACTGAGTTCAAGAAGTAGGGGTTCACCTTTCCCTCAATTTTTAACTGGTTGCAAACCTTTTTTTCGTGCTTTGTGATAGTGAAGCATGCAATTATGTTCAAAATTCCGAAATTTTTCGGAGAAAGCCCAGAATTTGCATTTAAGGAGAGCTCCATGCAGAAGTTTTGGAAAAAGTCCATGATTTTTCCATTTTTTCGGAATTTTCTGACAGTGTCGGAGCTATGGAAGAAAGTATAAATTTCACTCCGTATTCTCAAGGACTTTAGCGGAGAAAAGACTTATTCGTAGCCTGAGTATATAAGAATGGGATAAGCTATGATCCCAAGATCACTTTTCGACCCCTCCCCCGCGTAGCGCTGCGTTACGCTGGCCCAGACGCGCCCCCTCTAAACCTCCTAGCGAAACGTACATAACGCAACATTAAATCTCGGGGACTTAAGGGGGCTCATACATGTTAAAAGCACTTTAAAAAAAAAAAAATTTTGATGTAGACGGATTAAGATTTTACAATTTCTGTGTTAAAATCCTTTTAGATAATTGAGTAAGCTTCATTTTGGCTTAAGGGAAAGTGACTTTGGACATTTTTTGGAGATTTAGTCGAAACGTTAAAAATTTTGCTTCTCGTAAGATTTTGTTCGCATACTTGCTCAGATCTTTGGGGAAAAAATCAGGGAGACTCATCCCCAGTAGTGTCATAGAATTGACTAGAATGGGCTTTATATCTGCAATGGTTTTCAAGAAAAAAAAATAAAAACAATTTTTTGTTGAAAAATTTGTTTAAAAAATTGTTAAAAAAATTGTTTTTATTTTTTTTCTTGAAAACTATTGCAGATATAAAGCCCATTCTAGTCAATTCTATGACACTACTGGGGATGAGTCTCCCTGATTTTTTCCCCACAGATCTGAGCAAGTATGCGAACAAAATCTTACGAGAAGCAAAATTTTAAACGTTTCGACTAAATCTCCAAAAAATGTCCAAAGTCACTTTCCCTTAAGCCAAAATGAAGCTTACTCAATTATCTAAAAGGATTTTAACACAGAAATTGTAAAATCTTAATCCGTCTACATCAATTTTTTTTTTTTAAAAAGTGCTTTTAACATGTATGAGCCCCCTTAATTCTTATTCTTATTATAATTCCTTATCTTCTGAGATGTGCTCTACAGTTTTCAGCGTAACGTCACGCTGGCACGGACATTGAACGGAGTCCGTTCAACGGACACCCTATGAGCGTAAATGCGGTGGCAGCAATAGATTTTTTCGCTGGATCCACTTCGCTCCCTCGAAAAAACAAATGCACCGGAAGTCGGGTCGCGTCGGCCAATCAGAAGCCTCCTTTCATCAGTGGTAGCGCCTACCCGTGATGAAAGGAGGCTTCTGATTGGCCGTCACGACCCGACTTCCGGTGCATTAGTTTCTTCGAGGGATCGAAGTGGATCCAGCGAAATAGTCAGCACCCCATGGGGAAATGAGTGGGTCCTGAAAACTGCCCCAACCTCCGTCACTCACTTTCATGCTCCGTCTCTGCATTTTCTTTCCCTCGATGAAACTTCTGCCGGATGTCGAAGCAGAGCAGCGCTGCGGGAGTGAAGTCCGATGCCCGGAATTCGACGCAGACGGAGATCTCCGCGGACGTTGAAGCTCGCGTGCTCGTCGTGCTAACCGAATCCACCGCTGCTACCTGTGCACAGGGCGACCGCGACCGCACTACACTGCTGCTCTGCCGGGCGCATGAAGCTTTCCGGTCAGGGTTGCCAGGAGGGTTACCGGTTGCCACACTCGCCACCAGGGCGCGCTCCGAGCGCAACTGGACGCCACCGGGGCCAAGTCGCGACGGAGGGCCACCGGAGCGCCCGCGTCGCCACCGAAGAACCTTCCGCTCTGCTGGCTTCAGGCTGGGCCGGAGGGTCGGGGACTGCGGAAAGACCCTAATCCCGTAGCCGACGGCCGAGCGCCACCGGTCGTGGCCACCGTTTCTGCGAAGTAAGTCGCCACCGCCGCCCGACGCCATTGGAGAGCCCGGGCAGTCCCCACCCCACCGCTCCGCCACGACCGCGACACGACTGGCGGCGCTTGACGAGTCGGGTCCTGCCGAGCGGGTGACCGAGTCTAGGCGAACACTTCTCGACCCGCGCGTCTCGGCCAAGGCACCTCTGGGCTAAGCTGACCCTTGTCCATCGGAAGTCCTCAAAGGACCTCGCCACGGCGTGGACACCTCGCTAGGCGCATCAACTTTCCAACTGTTGGAACAGTGCGCGATTGCAACTACAACTAAAGGGTGAGTAGTGACTACATAAGGGCAGCGTGGTTTCCTTTGGGGCATGACAAACAAACCTGTGACGGGTTGAGGCATTCGCCGACGGTGGATTTCCGGTTTCCGGCGCACACTAAACGTTTATGTACGAATTTTGTACGAGACATCACAGTTTATTGTGCACACGAACTTTTTGTACAAATTTGTACAAAATTTTGCACAAAATGTGGAATTTTGTGGAGTTTTTCGTTCAAAAATTGTACGAAAAGTTCATGTGCACTAAAAACTGTGATGTCTCGTACAAAATTGTACATACGAGCGAGGGGGCAACCACTCGAAATTGTTTTGTATACAGGATTTTTCGAAGGTAGGGATTTCGTCGAGATTTCGCAAGATTCCGCGTCAAAATTATGCCAAATTTCGTGAGTTTTTGATGGGATTTCGTGTGATTTCATCAGATTTCGAAGGGATTTCGCGATACCTCTGCCGATTTCGTGCAAGACTTCGGCAAATCAAGTGTAAGGGAGTATGGGGCGATTTGTAACAGATTTCGGAATTCCCTGTACAAAATAAATAACATTCTGCATATCGGTTCCAAACTTGTGCCAGTTGAGCAGTCTGGCCCTTCATCTAGACTGTGCAGCTCCATTGGATCAATGTGGAGTCCGTAATCTTTGAAATCTAAGACGTTTCCCAAACCCGTGCATGCTGTTACGAATCGCCCCAGCATGGGCTGATTTGTAACAGCCCAGGGGGCTTTTCATAACATCCTACACATTAATGGAAACATCGTCGGGAATGGTATCTCCTCCACCAGTTGTTCTCCGGGTGTCCTGCAGACGTCTAAAAATCTACATTACAAGCTGCCGTTGACCGCTTCAGCAGTAACTGATAGGCTATGTCAATCCTAACCTCACTTTTTTCAATTTTAGAGGAAAGCATAGAATAACTCGCTTTAAAATGCATTTCGAGCTGTGTAAATGTATCGGAATAAAACAGCAGATGTTTCGAGAAATAAGTCAAGCATTTAACAGCGAAAGCTACTTAAATTTTTGTTTTTACATGGGTCTGTTACGAATCACCCCAAATGCCTGTTACGCAAGAAATCCGCCCTTAACTATCACTGGTCAAAGTAAAAGCAACTAATGCCACGTGTTTACATTGTAAAGGGGTCACGCTTCAAGGCCCCAACGGTACTTCGATGGTGACTCATACCTGAGGAGCCTCAGACAGAAACTTCCTAGAACTCAAAATAAAAGATTTGCCTGTTTGCCGAAATTTCGGTGTACCCTATGTTTCAGATGCCCTCCAAAACTGTACCTGAGCACCGATCACATCCGCTTCGATTGTTCAAGGACCCTGTACTTGAAGCGAAAGAGGGACCATACTCAGATTTTCCTCTGCTCCCTCCACTTAAATTATTAAACGCATTTGTTACGTATCGCCCGTTACAAATCGTCCCATACTCACTTACCCTCTACTAATTTTTGGATCCCTACGCTAACGCGCAAGAGCCCCGAGGTGTCCGGTTCTGCCCCGCCCTGACCCTACGTGCAAACTAGCGGCATGGTGCTGCCAAAGAAATTCGTCATTCATTAAGTTAGAATCCCGCCCGGCCATGCGGTGCTGAGCGTTCGAACCCGAGAGTGTTTACAAAAGGAGGGACATTCCATGTAAAGTCAACCAGGCCTTAGCCACCATGGGCTCCGATCCGGTTCTCGTTTTCGGGGTTTGTTACCCCTATGGTCCCATGAAATAATCGGTACTTGGTTTGGGGTCCGTCCCCCCAGGGGCTGGGCTATGGCCAATTTGTTTTTTGCTAAATATTGAAACAACGCAACGCTAACGCCTGAAACATCCCCCACTATGCCATGCTACAATAACTTATTACAACATCACCCACCACCACCTGTAGAAATCACGGCGGGGTGATTGGGTGTAGTACTGGTCCGATCTCCCAGAGCGCGCTGCCTGTCGCACTCTCCAGGGGCAAGGAAGAGCACCCTTTCGGCACTAGTGCGTTGCAGGTCTGCTGGTTGTTGGCCTTCCTGACAGGCGCTTGGGTCCCCTGACCTTAGAAAAGCAACCCGGAAACTTGCTTTGAGCCGAAAACACCGAAGAGAGCGTCCAGTGTGGTATCGAGTGCGGCCGTCACAACAATGTGGTGAAATACGTGGTTGCAGGGGTTCACGAAAATGGCTCGTTCTCGGGAACGAAGCCGAACACATTTTTTGGTGAACATTTTCGTTTAGGGAAGGGTTTAAGCTATCTTTTAAGCCCAGATTGGTCAAAATCGGTTGAGGATCTAGGAAATGGCGCTAATTTTAAAACTTCACTAAAGTTTTAAAGTTGCAAAAAGTTTTTGGACATAAAAACTTCAAAGACAAAAAAGATTCAGTTTTTCATCCTCTTTCCAAATCTGGTCTCGGATTTGACCTACGACCAATGGTTGCTGAGATATTGCCCTCCAAAGTTGCGTTGTTCCAATATTTAGCAAAAAAGTAAATTGGCCATAGCACAGCCCCTGGGGGGCCGGACCCCAAACGAAGTACCGATTATTTCATGGGACCATAGGGGTAGCAAACCCTGAAAACGAGAACCGGATCGGAGCCCATGGTGGCTAAGGCCTGGTTGACTTCACATGGAATGTCCCAGGAACATTTCGAGTGGAGTCGCTCCTAATCGTTTCCGCTCCACCCCTTTTCCAGATGCCCCCTCCGACGGCTGCGGAGTGCTGCAGCTGCGGCCAGGAGTTTGGCCCGGACTGCCGGCCAGCCGTGGCGCACAACTGCGGCCACACGCCGTGCCAGTCCTGCGTGCAGGCGGGGCCGTCCTCGGAGAGCCGCTGCGGCGCGTGCCGGAAGGTGAGGACCGAAATGTGTGAATTGTTATGGAGACTGTAAAGTGAAACTAGCATGTCCTAGAAATGGTTGCCACAGGAAGTTCATTTTGTGTTCAAATTCAACCGCTCTTAGATGAGTTTCTTCCCAAAGTTGGGGGCCCCAACTCCTTTATTTTCTGAGTTAAGGCGGGATTAGCCTCGTTTTCGCTTGTAAATAGCGTAACGATCGTCCGTAAGATTTTTCCGTAAAATAAGGTTTTTGAAATAGAGCTTTTATCCTCAAAGTCTATTTTACGTTAGTGTGCAGGTCAACATAACCTAGCACGAAAATAAAAACAAACTCAGACGACGACGCGGAGGACGTCTTTCCCTTCTTTATCTTTCCCTTTTTCGCGGACCAATGTTTGTTTCTCAAAATCTATCCCTTGCTTGCTCCCAATGGTCGAATTCGAATCAAGCGCGCCCGAAATAACGTAAGGACACCTTATTTTACGGAAATCCTCCTCTCTTTCCATGCTGTTCGGATATTCGGACACGGACGAAAAATAAGTAAGAGCCTCCTCCGTGAGATAAGAAATCGAAAATAAAATAAGACGACTGTGGGTGCTCCCGTAAGAACACACGTGATGGAAACTTTACGTTACGGAAAATCGTTACGTTATTGTCAGATGTTGCCGCGCGAAAATGAGGGTAATCCCGTCTTTATGGAGTAACTCCACCCCAAGGTGCACCGAGATCTGGGATTGGGTCACGGATTCGGTTCAAACTTTGTGGGTTCAATAGGTACCACTAGGACCGATCAACCCTACAAAGAAAGTTGGCTAGCTCAAATAGAACCTGAGATATTAGCATTTTTCTAAATTTGACAAATTTAGCGTGAAAATGTCGCTTTCTGACTTTTTTATGGTAAAAATTGTTTGCTTAGTTCTGGCTTATGTTTCTTCTTTCTAGTCATAAAAAAAGAAGAAAAATGGTGGTAGGCCAAGTTTTGTACGTTGCCTGGTTTGGCCTACTCGAGCAATTTTGTCGAATTCATCGAAACTCTCATACCTAAAATACTTTATTTACAAAGTATCAACACAAACAAAGAGACCCAAACTCAAGGTGCACTGAAAATTTATAAGGAAATTGTTTCGAGCAAATTTTGCAAGTTTACAAGGGGTGTAAGGAATTTAAATCGGAGGAAAATGTAATGCTTCAGCCAAAAGTGGATATGTGGTTTATTAGTTAGCTTTCTCTAGTAGGTTTGGTGCTCTTTTAACCATGAGAATGTTCTTTCTTGACAATCAGTGACTATACACAGTTTTGGTATAGGGTTGTTGGACCTGCAATTTCAACGCATGAACAAAGTAATGGTCCATTTATTTAGGTTGTTTGCAACGTGAAAGTTCAACCGCTTAGTCTCAATAACTGAGCCTTGTTCCGTTTGGTTAGTAAATTTTTGAGACCAACCGGACGACTTAAGACTAAGGGGCTCAGCTTATACGTTGCAAACAGCCTAAATAAATGGACCATTACTTTGTTCATGCGTTGAAATTGCAGGTCCAACAACCCTATACCAAAACTGGGTATAGTCACTGATTGTCAAGAAAGAACATTCTCATGGTTAAAAGAGCACCAAACCTACTAGAGAAAGCTAACTACTAAACCACAAATCCACTTTTGGCTGAAGCATTACATTTTTCTCCGATTTAAATTCCTCACATCCCTCGTAAACTTGCAAAATTTGCTCAAACCAATTTCCTTATAAATTTTCAGTGCACCTTGAGTTTGGGTCTCTTTGTTTGTGTTGATACTATATAAATTGAGGGCAGGGAGGATCTTTCCTGTCACCCAAGATCATGTAGAAGCCCTAATCTTGACAAAAGCGCCCAAAATAGGTCAAAGTAGAAAATTGGAAAAATGTGTTTTTGATTTTTCTGGCTTTTATGAAACTGTTGGTGCTAAGGACTATATAGCAATTGTTTATTAGAGTAAAAGAAGTGAATTGAGACGTACCTGGGTCAAATCCAAGGTGGAGTATTTTGGGTATGAGAGTTTCGATGAATTCGACAAAATTGCTCGAGTAGGCCAAACCAGGCAACGTACAAAACTTGGCCTACCACCATTTTTCTTCTTTTTTTATGACTAGAAAGAAGAAACATAAGCCAGAACTAAGCAAACAATTTTTACCATAAAAAAAATCAGAAAGCGACATTTTTACGCTAAATTAGTCAAATTTAGAAAAATGCTAATATCTCAGGTTCTATTTGAGCTAGCCAACTTTCTTTGTAGGGTTGATCGATCCTAGTGGTACCTATTGAACCCACAAAGTTTGAACCGAATCCGTGACCCAATCTCAGATCTCGGTCCACCTTGGGGTGGAGTTACTCTAGGGAGGTTTACGTAAACTTTTAGTCGTTTCTCCCAAATGCTCCTCACGTCAAAGATGACCACCCAGTCTTCAGATACTTTCGATTATATTTTTTTTTGCATAGCATGCATAGCATAACGATGGCGTTGGCAGATTTGAAAACATCAGTCCAGACGAGACTGTAAAAGCTATTTTACCAGGCCAATTTTTTTCTTCAAATTTTAAGATTTGGCCCCATTTTGGTCTTGTTTTTGTTTTTTTTAGGAAAAGTATGGTAGATACATAAAAAGGGCAACGCTATCTTTATGCCCATTCAAAAAAAGATAAATTTGCCAGAATCTGAAGACTGGGTAGCCAATCCTTTGTCGTGAGGAGAATTTGCGAGCAACAACTAAAAGTGTATGTAAACCTGCTTAACTCAGAAACTAATCGGAGTTTCGGCCCCAGTATCGGTGTATGAGTTTATGCAACGGAAAGGAACTTTTAATCATAAATTGAGACATCGCATTCAAGTATTTAAAAAAATGTCAAGTGGCCTCCTTTTTCGTTTTACAATAACCTTACCTATTTACCAAGGGCGCGGCAACGGCCACGGGAGTGCATAAAGCCATGCTCGAGCGAAGTGCAGTGGCTAGGCACTTTTTTGAGAGCATGAAAACTAGCTCGGTTTCAACATGCTTGGCACGTGATCATCAATAGAGCATGAAATTTAGGGTGTATGAGGCCCTGTAGGCCCGAGTTCTCTCAGCCGAACCTGCAAGAGAGCCAATCTTTACCACAAGATAGTGCAGACGAGCTTTTTCGGATTTTTTTTTAATTTTTCGCGTGTTTTTGGTGCAAATTTACTTGGGGTAAGAGAGAAAGAATCAAGTGGGGCAAAGCCCATGTAGTACAGTTTACCCCAAATTTCGAGCTCTTTTCATTGTTGCAAAGCTTTCTGAAAACAAAGGCCTAGTTTTCACAATCTCGAATAAGCGCGTTGGCCCTGCGCGGTAGCTGGGGTGAAAATCTCTTTATTTCCTATTTTTTTTTTAATTTTTCCGCATGTTTCCATTGTTTTGGAAAATTTTCGGAAAAGTTGAATCTTTTTGAACAATTAGAATCACTACACGTTTTAATTTTTTGAGAAGGGGGGTGGAGTCCACCCGGTGGACGTGGGGTCGCGAAAACTTTTGGCTACAAATTTGGGGTTGCGAGCCGAAAAAGATTGAGAGCCGCTGAACTAGCTGGTACCAATTGAACATCTGCCTTCCTTTTCCAGAGGTCCAAGTCGAGCCAGGATGTCATCAAGGAACTGCGGGTGCCCGGCGAGGGCGGCCAGCCCCTCCGCATCTGGTGCGTGGACTGCGACTCGCTGCCCACCGACCTGTGCCTGAGCGAGCACCACTTCTGCAACGTGCAGCGCTTGGTCCGCGACTCGGCCCGGAGCGTCGCCGCCATGCACGACGCCGTGGCCGCGGGGCTGCAGCGCGCCCAGCAGGGCCTGCAGGGACTGAGGTACGCGTGCGTCAACGCCTGGCCCAGGCAGAGACACCATGCTACAGCTGAATCGTAGTTGTGCACCCTCAAAGGCCCTTTGAAGCGTTTTGCACTCTCATTCCTGGAACCTGACATCACGTTGACACGGACGTGAAAAAATGTCACGTTCGTTTGAGCATTGTGTCACGTTCGTTTCATCGTGAATTTAAGGCTGATTCACGTCCAAACGAACGTGACACAATGCTCAAAGGAACCTTACATTTTGTCACATTCATTTCAACGTGGTGTCACGTACCTGGAATGAGAGTGTGCCTTGGGTTGTTGGATGCCTGAATGGAACGTACATCACAAAAAAGCCGTTTCTTGAACCAAAATAATTGGCTGAGCGATAGCGAAGCCCGTTACTCCAGTGGGGTTGAAAAGTTTTGTCTGTCTGTCTGTCTGTCTGTCTGCGTGTGTGTGTGTGTGTGTGCACTACTCCTCCTGAACGGCTCGGCCGATCTGGCTGAGATTTTGCAGGGTCATTAGGTATGTTCTTGGCTCGGCACACGCGAAATTTCACCATCCTAGCTCAACTGGTTCAGTTTTTATAGCCGAAAAACACCTGAAAAACGGCGAAAAATCGAGTATTCTGTAGGTAGGCCTCTCCTGTCTGGATGAAAGGGGGGTCTGGGGGGCGGAGTCCCCCAGCCTCGACAAGTTGAAAAGTTACAAGGGTCAAGATCGTGTAATTTGTAGATGAAGCACCTCTACCTAGAATGAAGCGGGGTCTGGGGGGCGGAGCCCCCCAGCATACAACAGTTCAGTTCAGAAGTAACTGATGATGGACAAGCATTGCCTGCCGAAGGCAGTCTAGCGCCGCCGGCCAAGGTAGGTACGCCAGGCGCAGATTGGAGGAACAGGCAGCGAGACATCGCGAAGCCCGTTACGACAAGACGCGGTCTGGCGTAAACCTACCTTGTATACTAACCTATTTCACTAGCAACAAGCGAATCAACTTGAATGTGTTGAGTAAATGTTCTTGTTGCGTTTCAATTTTCCTCGTCCATTTAGTGAAGTGTAAATAAGTCATACCCTGACATTTTGTATAGCTTATGTTAAATCAAGTTTCAAAAACTGTGCCTGTCTTGTTGCATTGTTCCGTGCGCTTGATATCTGAAATCTTCGTTAGATTGCTTTGAATGAAAATGAATCATATTTTGACGTATAGCCACGAGTAAATTTTCTATTTTGTTCCCCAGGACTTGGGCAAATGGCGCTGAGGACCGCCAGGACTTGTCCGCGCTGCGTGCGCACGCTGCCTGCTTGGGCCGCATTCAAGGTGTGCTGCAGCAGGCACTTCAGGACGTGGAGGAGGAGGCGCGCCGCTGCCAGGCACAGGACGCCACCAGCTCCAACGAGGTGAGGGGATCCTCCAAACAATTCTTTCAGGTTTTCAGCCTAAAATTGATGCAATTTTTGAAGGGAAAAAAATTGATGGCAATATGATTGTACAAAAAGGTTTCATGGTCCGTTAACTAACACGTATTGGCGTAAACTCCACGTGGGTGGAGTAGTTCTCCACGTGGGTGGAGTAGTTCTCCACGTGGGTGGAGTAGTTCTCCACGTGGGTGGAGTAGTTCTCCACGTGGGTGGAGTAGTTTAAGGGTTTCGTGGGAGTCTTCTAATGAGTGTTACAATTGTTTGATATAACTATTTCTTTGAAATTTGTGTGCTAACATGATAAGAAAAATATCTGGAAGATACTGACTTATCTTAAAATTCCATTATAAAGTCCCGTGAATAACATCTTGACATACGCCAGCGTATGACACTTTTTGTCATCAAAATGTAAAGTCTTCACTACGAAAACATATTCTATTCCTTATCTATTTACTGTGTTTAAGGTTATTACCTAAAATACAGTAAGAAAGAAATCAAGCATGATTATTGATCCAGGAAGCGGCAGAATTTCAGCCAGTTTTCAGGAGAAACAAAAAACTGTTAGCAGGAAAATCTGAAACTTAACAAAGGAATGTTATAAATAATAACAAGTTCAAGAAGCATTAGAAAAATTTGCAGAAAAACATCAAAAGAGTCAGGCCCCTCTTCAGAAGGGTTCTGTGCCTTATCACTTTTTGATAAAATGGAAAACAGAGTCATCTCAGCTGCTATTTCCTCAACAAGACAGAATTCTGAAGCAAGTCAAGTGAAACTCAAGTCAGCATGAAGTGTTAGTTACTCTGTAAAAAGCACACTAAATTCCTAATAAAAAATTTGCCAGAAATTTGTGTACTTTTGTTGTGGTTATTTTCTGCAGTGTTCTGTGTCTAAACGTGCGTTGGCCTTAATGTGTTCCAGAGGTACACGCTTGGCGCCTCGATGGAGTTCCCCTCGAATTCGAGTAACCCTTCGTCAGGCATCCCGCCGGAGTCGCGCGCTTCGCTGGAGTCGCTGCCCCGCGAACTGCTGCAGGCGGTGCTGGCCTACGTGCCCATCAAGCAGTTGCTGCCCTTACGGCTGCTGGGCCGTCGCTGGAAGACGCTCATCCTGGAGGAGCCGCTGTGGCGCCACCGCCGCTTGAACATAACTCTGAATACCAAAGAGAGGCCCTACGCAGCCATCCTACGCATGGCCCCCGCCCTGGACACGCTGAAACTGGAGACGGTACCACCAAATGGTGCCCACGGGCTCGTTCTTCTCAAGGCTCTTGCCAGAGGACAGTGCAAGGTATGAGATCCAGAGGACAGTGCATACTCAGCCGTCTGTCGTCTGTAGACGTGTACTCAGCTGATGTTCACTCAGCTAAGTAGGGGTAGGTTGGGTAAGAAAAGTACACTCGAAGCTCGGGTAAGAAAAGTACACCCGTTACATCTCCGAACTGAAACTACACTGAACCATCACGTTAGTGGTTTTAGGAAGATTGGTCATCCCGCTGACAAAAAATAAATTTAGCCCACTTCTACATATAATATTTAGAAATCAAACTGCACGTCGAGGGGTCGGCAACTCATATATTACTTCGTACACGGTGGCTATATTACCTGTATATTACCATATATTACTTGCATATTACCACAATTTCGCCTCTATAATACCCCTATATTACAATATATTACTTTGTATTACTTTATATTACACATATATTACCTATATTACTGGTAATATACGTATACTCCCTCGTACACGGCCAAGGGGAGTTGACGACCCCTCGCTGCACGTTTGAAAAACACATAACAAATAACTATGAAAATCTTTTTTTTTAATGTTTGTACTTTGAAGTACAGCTTCGTGTAGAATCAGCCGACAGTCCAATGTAAGGTACCACCTTATAGCTTAGACCATCATCTTTGAAAAACAGTGCCGTTCGATGCTCTTACGCTTCAACACAATTTTTTATAAGTGTAAAAATGAAATGGGGAAGAAAAGTACAGTCGGCTGGGGAAGAAAAGTACAGGTATTGGGGAAGAAAAGAACACCCTCTAAGAAACTAAAAGCGGGATGAAAATTGAATTGATCACGGAAATAGATTTTATTAGGCGAGACAAGCAAAAAATGTCAACACAAGTTATAGAATTAGACTCGAAATATAGAAGTTATTGGGCATTTGCGTGAAAAGGGGAAGAAAAGTACAAAAATGCTGTACCCACCTATCTCTGAGAAAAGGCTTCTTGGACCTTCTGTGATGAGTCTCTGTAGAATCAGAACCAATTGACCGATTTTGACGAAACTTGAACTCGAGGGGTCGGCAACTTCCCTTGGCTGTGTACGAGGGAGTATACGTATATTACCAGTAATATAGGTAATATATGTGTATTATAATGTAATACAAAGTAACAAATAGTAATATAGGGGTATTATAGAGGCGAAATTGTGGTATTATGCAAGTAATATGTGGTAATATACAGGTAATATAGGGTAATATAGCCACCGCGTACGAAGTAATATATAAGTTGCCGACCCCTCGCTTGAACTAATGGCAAGTAAAATCTCTCCACTTTAGGGGTAAACGTGTATTGAGCCAAGATTGGTGGTCTCCTGGTTCGAACTCGCAATTCTTTTCGTTGTACTTTTCTTTCCCGGTGGTGTACTCTTCTTACCCTTTTCGAGGAGTTCCGAAATCACATACATTTTGGCATGTTGTACGTAATGTGGGGAACTAAAATCAACGAACAGTGATGCATTTCATTGGGAAGGCATTGGATTACATGTTCACGAGAGCAGAATAGTTGAATCCTCATTTGGAACTTCTGTACAGTGCAAAGTACGCGTTTTGTACTTTTCTTCCCCAACCTTCCCCTACTGTTATCCAACTTGCGATACTTTCAACACAAAAACGTGCGATGATATCCGAAATGTGACTCCCACGAGTCATTGCTCCTGAGATGCAATGACTTCTGTATCGCACAAAATTCTGCAATGAAAATCGGAATTATTGCTAAAACCTGCGATGATGACAATACAAAATCTGGAATCATTGCAGTTTTTTGCAATGATCATTGCAAAATTCTGCGATACTGTAGTTCATCACACCTTTTAGCAATGATCATCACAGAAAAGTGCGATGAAATTTGTATTGCGCAGAAAGTGCGGTCTGTATCGCAAGCGGAATAACAGTGTAGACGTGTACTCAGCTGAGTATGCATCTGTAGATGTATATTCAGCTAAGTATGCATCTGTAGACGCATACTCAGCTGCATCTGTAGACGCATACTGAGTACACATTTCAGTTTGTAGAGTACGCTGTGACAAAATTATTGACGATTCATACTGGTCCTTACGCGAATGCGCTTTCGCTTACACTATAGTGTGCTCGACGTGGCCGGACGCGGCTCCTCATTAGTCGGACACGCGAACTTGTCATGGCTTAAGGGCCTGTTACGCCGAAAAATCTATCTTGATGGATTTAAGCTATCCGCCCGTCGTAGTCATCTGGCGTAGCGTAAGGGTTGTCATAACGTATAGGTTACTGTAAGGTGGAAAAATTATCTTCCAAAGTATGGTTGGCAGTGCTTTGGTTTTTGGTGATTTAGTTGCTTACTATAAAGAACTTTTACAGTCACAGACTGCACTCCCTACTCCCATTCGTTCCAAAGTTATGAGGGTTTAGCGGGTTTTTAGTATAGTTTTAGTCGTTTATTATAAATTCTCCTTGCGATGAAGCAAAAAGTTTGCAAAGGTGTTATTTTCTAATTTGAAGCCCAATTTACATGCAAACAGACTAGCAAAGCCAGATTTGAAAATATATACACTGGTTTGCCAGCAAAATGTTTTCCAAAATATGTTTTTTATTTGTCATTTTTTTTGTTAAATTTTGGTTTGTCTTTCTTTTTTGTTTTTTTGTTTGAGAAAATTTTTTGTTGGGCCTCCGACTAAATTTTTAACGTTAACTTCAATTACTCATTAACTAATGGGAGTTGGGTACCTCACCTTTGGGTTTAGGTTAGTCTTATAGAAAGCAACTTGAAACCAATATACAATCATAATACCACAATTTATTGAATAATGACATTTCACTTTTTTCCATCTTACAGTAACCTTTTATTAGAATTTTGTTAAGAAGCTAAAAAGATTTCTCAAGACGAATTCCATATTAATTCATGTTTGTAAAACAAATGAAAACGTTAAAGCGTTTATTAATGCGCAACGCAACAATCGGCAATACCAAGTGCGGACCACGATGTAACATATGAGCCAAAAATGGGCCAAATCGTCGATGGTCCATTTTGGGTACTGCTGATTGGCCCTGGTTTGCCCCAGCATTGTAATTCAGTGTCCTGTTTCTTGTGTGTTTGACAGGTCCGCTTTCTGGATCTTTACGTTGGAGCCAGCGCGGTGTCCAGCCAGATACTATCTAACGTGTTCTCCAGTCGTAGCTCGTCACTACAGCAGCTACACCTTCATAGTGCACATGGCAGTGATCTTGGGCCAGCATTGGATGCCATTGACGCTTTGAAGGAACTGAAAAGCCTTAAACTCATATTCATGCAGAACGTGAGCCCCGGTTTTACCTTCAAACGTCTTCGTCTGACGAATTTAAACATCTCAACGTTTGTGAAGGTTGACATGGCTCGTGATCTCATCCGCCTAGGAAGAGACACTCTGACCTCCATCAAATGCGATGTGGAAATTAAGGAGCTGAAGACGGATTTGGTGCTATGCAAGAAGCTGACTCATCTTACAGTCGGCACGCCGTGCGAGGGGCTAGATGAAGTAGTCCCACAACTGCCTCTCCTGCAAAGCATAACCATTCAAGAGTCCTTTCGCCTCTCTCCGTCCACAGTGACTTGGTTCCGCTGGGCCGAGAGAAACTTTTCTGGAAAGGTCCATTTTGTGCTGGATTACTGGACTGCTGACAGTACTTTGACCTCGTCGACGGACAGCCTTCGCAACGTCCATAGTGTGACGATTAATCGCAGCTTCTATGCGGTGATGCGGCCAGAGCCCTTAGCACAGTTCCTGATGTCCCTGACCGCAGTGGAGCAGCTCGTGCTGAATTTCGGTACAGACTATGAGAGCTTGCTGCGCAGCTGGCCAGCGTCGACTGTTCCTCGACTGCAATGCCTCTCCATCTGTTCCCATTACCAAAATAACGCATCTGCCTTCAGGATCTCTTTCGCGCAAGCCATCAAAGCATGGCGTCCTAACCTTAAGTTAAAGTTCCTCTAATTTATCTCCAACATGTTCAACTACACAAGTCACAGCAGTTTTTCTGTACTTTTCGAGCATTAAAAAGATGTCCTTATTTGTGATTTTTTTTTCTTCCTGCAATATTAACAGTGTACGTACTCAGCACTCTCCTCAGCGTTTTCTCACGATTTAACTCCCACAAGCGTTTGCTCATGAGCTCACACTGAATATTGCGAGGCGTGCTTTGGTGTGTACTCATCTGAAGCAAAACTGTGTCTGCAACGAGGGTTGCCTACGAAGACTTGTTTAGTACAACACTCTCGTTCAAGGCACGTGACATCACGTTGAAATCGAGTGACAAAATGTCACGTACACACTTCTTTTCCGCATGCCCGGCAGGCACACACTTCTTTTCTGCATGCCTGGCAGACGCACACTTCTTTGCCGCATGCCTGAGGCACATACTTGCCGTCGCTAATGCATGCTTACAAGCAAGTGTATGCCTGAGGCGTGCAGAAGTGTGTGCCTGCCCTGCTAGGCATGCAGCAAAGAAGTGTGTGCCTGCAGGCATGGAGAAAAGCAGTGTGTGCCTGCAGGCACGCACCAAGAAGTCCATGCCCGGCACACACTTGAGTTTGCAGAGCATTCGCACGATTGTGAAGAAGCTAATTTATGGCTACATTCAGTCAAACGAGTCAAAATGTTCAAAGGAGCGTGGCATTTTGCTACTTTCGTTTCAACGTCATGTCGCGTTAACTTACTGCCATATTTTAGCCAAATTTAACAAATTTTGCCTTCGAACAAATTATAAAAATGTATACGCATTAAATGTTTATGTAGAATTTTGTACGTGCCACTTGCACGATATTGTGCATGCGGGGACTTTGCATAATCTCATGCGAGAAAGTTTTAGAAAGTTTTATGGGAATTTCTGCACAGTTTTATGCAAAGCGTAACGCAGGTTAAAAATCGTGCTTCACGACGTACAAAATTCTACTTAAACATTTAGTATGTACGTGAATGGGAAAGATAAGTCATAGGTAATTTACGCAGTCCAGTCCTGACCAAAAACAGACTAGAAGGAACGCACCATGGCTTTAAGATTAGTTGATTACTAAGTGTGAAAAAAACCCTGGGTAATATTTGGCCTATCCCGTGGGAGGAAGGCAAATTGCGCCTGAAGGCAGGCAATAAGCGTGGCTTGATACCTTCTTTTCAAAATTTCTGTGCACGCCACTCCGGGCCAGAAGGGTCGTTTTCGTAAGTTCCGTCATGGCAATACGCACGTGACACTAACTTTGCGCCTCCGTAACCTTTTGTTCCAGTCGAATTTATCAATCAATTTGCCAAGAGTATTTGGTGCCTAATTTGATGTCGGATGGAAATGTCCTTTGAGACCCCGTAGAAAACAAAAACAGCGGAATGAAAAGTGGAATTTATTACACAAGATCACTAGGAACATACATTTACAGATAATGAATTAATGTTAACAAAAGCGTTGCTTCAAGATTTCAAAAAAAAATGTTATAGAAAAAAATCTTTGCGTGCCCTCTTCTAAAAAAGCAGCTATATAAAATGTAGACTGTACAACCTGTAAGTACAAGTCACAAAGATTTAACGTAAGAAGGTAGGACATCGAGAATAAAGTCTGAAGTAAACGGAAAGCCTGCAGTTAGAATAAAGTAAACAAACGAGAGTCCATATTAGAAGGCCCTCTAACTAGCCAGAGCAGAGGGACCGCTGCAACTGGCGACCTGGAAGCAGTCGATCGGGCAGCCAGTCCTCTTGCTGTGCGACGAGAACGCCGTGTGTCCCTTCAGCAAACTGTGGCAGCCCCAATAGCACCAAGCACACTTGCAGTCTTGGACGTCCTGAATGCCGAACTGGCGTACGTGCAGGCCAGGGTTCCTGGAGAGTACATCTTGCACGGCGGGGTCATGCACCCAGGAATGCACGCACGCGGCCCTGGCCTTCTCCAGCGTCAGCTCGGTGAGGCTGGGCAGGGACGAAGGGTCGATGGCCTTGAGAAGGACTTTCGGCGGCACGCAGTCCAGGCTGAGGGACCGCAGGGAGGTGAAGTTGCGCAGCAAGGGGGCCCACAGCTTGAGGTGCTCCGCAGCCCCAGCGACACCCGCAATCGATTCTATCTGAGGGGCAGAAGCGGATTCAGCCAGTGCCGAGAGGGCAGGACCGATGTTCTTGACTAGGCTTTGAAACTTGACAGCCCGCAGATGCGGTGCCTTTCGGAGAAACTGCATAGCGCCCGGAGGAAAATCCTCAAAAGTCTCGGATTGGTACCTGAATAGGAACGCATTGAAAGTTTCGAGGTTCGGCAGGTCGGCTAACTGAACGAGGTCACTGATCAGATGGCAAGTCAAGGCGCGGAGCCTGGGCATGGTGGCCAGCGAGGACACTGGGAAGTCTCTCGCGCGGTAGATTTGGACGACCTCTAGGGTGGCTGCATGAGTCCTCAACAGCTGGTGAAGGAAGGGCCCCGCAAAACGAGAACAGTAAGTCAGCTTCGTGAGGGACGAGCTCAGCTCGGAATCACACAAAAGCGTTGGCAGCGGCTCATCCTCGTAAAAACAACGAGCGAAGAATAGTTTCTGGATGCCGCTGAGGTGCAAGATCGTACGCAGGAGCGTCGGCAGAGTCGGAGTAGACGGACTGCACCGCACTTGTAAGGAGAGGTTCTCAGCCCCCCCAACAGCAGAGAGTTTCAAGATGATGACTGTGGCTAAAGCCGCATCGCTTTCGCTTTCAACAATGAGGTCCAGCTTATTCACCACGCAGGTTGTGCCCTGCACCAGGTAGGCCACTTCCCCGAGGAACACGGGGGAGATCTCGCCGAGGCACGGCGCGAGGTTCAGCGCGGCGCGTAGCACGCCCTTCTCCCACACTGTGGCAGCCTGCCAGAGGCGGCGGTGCATGCAGAGGTCGCGGAGGCGGGTGCAGGCCACCCGGCAGTTGAACAGCTCCCGGGGAGGAAGGTGCGCCAGCACGGCCAGCAGCGCCTCGTCCGGCAGGGACAGCAGCTGCGGGCAGAGGAGCGACGCGTTAGAACCGTCAGGAAAGGGTAACTCCTCTACTGAACATTCGAACACAATTGTCTGTTCAAACGATATTGCTGTGAAGATACTAGATAGTCATCAGATTAGCATTATGTAGGATGCAATAAATGGAAAACAATTTTCTAAAAGATGATATTTTGGATAAATGAAAAATCAACACATCTTAAAATATTTATTTTAACGATTGTTAAACCTGTTGGGGGGCAAACTATGACCTTTGTTCGCATTAAAGGTCCCTTCACTATGAATAATTTTGATGTACTGCTTCTAAATTACAGTTCCACCTTCTTTGAAGTGAGGATATCCTCTAGGAGAGAGATCAAAGCGACAAGTTTCCGTAAACTGACTTGTCAACCTAACGAGCCTTATTTTTAAAGTAACCATTAGGAATAAAAACAATTGAACATAAATGTTTTGGAGAACTCCAAGTGTTCGCAGGACTTTTTTGATATCGTTGATGGTCGTTAAGGTAAAAGAAAAATAAAAAAAGTTATAACTTTTAAAAATTTAGGTGTTGATCACTAGGGGTAGGTTGGGTAAGAAAAGTACACTCGAAAGTCGGGTAAGAAAAGTACACCCGTTATATCTCCGAACTGAAACTACACTGAACCATCACGTTAGTGGTTTTAGAAAGATTGGTCATCCCGCTCACAAAAAATAAATTTAGCCCAGTTCTACATAAAATATTTAGAATCAAACTGCACGTTTGAAAAACACATTAAAAATAACTATGAAAATCTTTTTTCTAAATGTTTGTACTTTGAAGTACAGCTTCCTGCAGAATCAGCCGACAGTCCAATGTAAGGTACCACCTTATAGCTTAGACCATCATCTTTGAAAAACAGTGCCGTTTGATGCTCTTAGGCTTCAACACAATTTTTTTTAAGTGTAAAAATGAAATGGGGAAGAAAAGAACAGTCGGCTGGGGAAGAAAAGTACAGGTATTGGGGAAGAAAAGAACACCCTCTAAGAAACTAAAAGCGGGATGAAAATTGAATTGATCACGGAAATAGATTTGATTAAACGAGACAAGCAAAAAATGTCAACACAAGTTTTAAAATTAGACCAGAAATAAACAAGTTATTTGGCATTTACGTGAAAAGGGGAAGAAAAGTACAAAAATGCTGTACCCACTTATCTCTAAGAAAAGGCTTCTTGGACCTTCTGTGATGAGTCCATGTAGAATCAGAACCAATTGACCGATTTTGACGAAACTTGAACTAATGGCAAGTGAAAGCTCCCCACTTTAGGGGTAAACCTGTATTGAGCCAAGATTGGTGGTCTCCTGGTTCGAACTCGCAATTCTTTTCGTTGTACTTTTCTTTCCCGGTGGTGTACTTTTCTTACCCTTTTCGAGGAGTTCCGAAATCACATACATTTTGGCATGTTGTACGTAATGTGGGGAACTATGATCAACGAACAGTGATCCATTTCATTAGGAAGGCATTGGATTACAAGTTCACGAGAGCAGAATAGTTGAATCCCCATTTGGAACTTCTGTATAGTGCAAAGTACGCGTTTTGTACTTTTGTTCCCCAACCTACCCCTATCAGATGTTGATTAACAATATGAAAGTAGTGTGGTGTACACTTGTCGTGCGCCTACAGAGAAGTTGAAATACATTTTTGCCCATTAACATAAATGATTACAAAAAAATTGGGAACTTTTTCCAACTTTCACAACATTGACTTGTCGCTAACTTATGAAAACTTTTTCTTTTGAAATCTCCAACTCCTTCTAAATCAAAGAAGATGAAACTCCAATTTTCAAACAGAACCACTCTATTCCTCAAAGTTTCTGATCTGTTAAGTTTTACGTAACAAATTTAGTCGCTTCTCTAATTACTCCTTCAAATACCAAAATTGAGTTTCCAGCCTTCCCTCTAAGAAAATTAGTCTTTAAGGACATACAAATTGGATTGCAGCTTTAAGAAAATACTAATTATCTTGACATTGCGACAGAATTTATTTTTTCTAATCTTGACTATATTAAGCCGTTTTGCTACCTTTTTTTTCGGAAATGTATTTTGAATAGAATTTTATGGACTTAGCATCATAGACACACATTGCCCGTGTGATACATGGAAGTACACTAGAATAGTGGCTAAATCACCCACGGAATGCAAATAAGCGTCCGGCTTTGACCCTCCTTGGGTAGAGATAATGGCGGCCCAATCTGCTCGCCCTAGTCAAATTTGAAAAGGCGATTTGCGGTCACTTTTCGAACAATCTGACCAACGGAACGTGTCGGCAAATTACAACGAAGCACAGTAATTAAACAACATCCACAAACTCCAATTTTAGGCCGCGGTGACAGCAATTTTGGTTTGATCAAGAAATTGTGCTGATTTGAACAAAGTCGGCTGGTAAAACCACAAAACAAGTAGGAACTAATAGGCCATTCCGCTGCTTGGAAAAGAGGAAGAAAAGAGGTACTATGCGTGACAAAAGTAAGGACCCCTCCGGCCGGGCCTGGCGATACCCCGCGCCCAGGCCGCTGCCGAGACAGGCGGACTCCTCGGCAGATGGACCGACGCAGGGCTGCGCTGTTGTCAAACTATCACTGCAGGTGCACAATAGCTTTATTACCCCCCGACGAGTGAATGACACCCTGGGCCAGCCGCCGGTCTGGATGCCACAGAGCGGTTCTGCTCCTGCTGCTGGCCGGGTGCTATTTTGACAAGTCAATTTCATGCAAATATGACCATTTTTGACACCACTACCAAAATGCGTCTCAATCTGAGCTGATTATTTCATTGTAAGGTATCTAGTAAACTTTTTCTTACTTCATCAAAATGATCTTAGAAAATTAATTTTTACATGTATAAGTCAGAAATTGAGTCATACAGTGGCCAACATTCCCAACTTGTCAAAGTAACGCCCTAGAAAATTTGCATTCTAGAATTAGCCGGGTTGCCTGCAGGCTATTGTGTCGCGGGTCTCATTCACTGCCTGGCTGCACCGGCGTGAGGGTGCTGACAAGCTGATTTATTGCCCCTTGACTCAAAATAAAAATTTTCAAACAACTTATTTTTGGATTTTGAATTGAGTGGAAATGGGTTCCTTGCGAAGCTGCGAGTCCAGTGATATCTTGAAATTTTGTTCTACGACTATTTGAACCGAAATTCCAGACCAAGTCGCCTGTCTCGGCAGCGGCCTGGGCGCGGGGTATCGCCAGGCCCGGCCGGAGGGGTCGCTTACTTTTGTCACGCATAGTACATCGATACCCCCTATCTACAACCGCTTCCTCGATGCACGGCTGGGGACAACCGCTCAGCTGCACCTTGCTTCCGGATAACGCGCACCATCAGCCACCCTGCCGACACGCTTATCTGGCAGGCGGCTCCCGACAACCGCTTATCTCCGGCCGGCCGGGGCGCTGGTTAGGTTGGGGCCGCCAGTTATCCGTTCATAGTGGCCGTCACAGTGCCCGTACAAACCAATCCATTGACTCTGAATGATGTACATGTCTTTAGTAGTATGGTTAGTTAGTTTTGCTCAAACAATTTCATGCAGCATTGCGAAGCGTCGATTCATTGCCCGTATTTAGGGCTGAGCGGTTGTCGGGAGCCGCCTGCCAGATAAGCGGTGTCGGCAGGGTGGCTGATGGTGCGCGGTTATCCCAAGCAGGTGCAGCTGAGCGGTGTCCCGCCGTGCATCGAGAAGCGGTTGTAGATAGGGTATCGACATACTTCCGTCCCCTCGCCTGCGGGGGGACGGAACTTCCGCTGCCCCTCTCGTCCCCCCGCAGGCGAGGGGACGGAAGCTGTGTACTTCATTTCTTCCTCTTTTCCAAGCAGCGGAATGGCCATTTCGGGTGGTTGCTGTTTAGGTGCTTCGGAAAAGAGCTATTTCCACCAATTAGATTATTCTAGTCGTCATCAACAAAAGAACAATAGGAATCATAAAACCGGAAACGGAGTGGATCAGAAGGCAGCGATCCTAGTTCAAGGGAGAAATTTGAACATCTATGATTCTTTCCTTTCCCAATGAGTATTTAGCACACCCTAACATTCAAACCTAATTGTACCCCCAAGAGAAATCGACTTACCTCAAATTTCTCCATTTCCAGCTGGTACCGATGAATAGAATCAGGTTGAACTGCAAGATGAGTCCGTCCGCACGGATCTTGGCGTAACAGCGACTGGCCTGGTTGGACCTCTGAAGTGTCTGCAACGGAATGATTTGAGGGGTTTGGATGGGCGAGCTGCAAGGTACGCATGCACCGCCGATTGGCGTAACACGTAGATTGTTTGGACCGGAAGAGGGTTGCAAACCAATCGGTTATCTGACAAAACTTATCGTCTCAGAAATGTGATGGCATCTGCGATCCTTCTCCTTATGATGTGGTAGACTGTTCTAGTCGTCGTCGACTGAAGAACAAGAAGAATCACAAAACCGGAAATGGCGCCGGCGACTTAACCTTACTCACCCGTCCGAGCATAGACAATCAACTATATCCATAGACCAACTGCTTCATGCCCAGGCTGGGATCCATGTGTTACGCCGCTCCCTGATTGGTCGGTACCTTTCACGTCACTGGTCATTGGTCGGCTTTGGTCACCAAGCTGCCTCGGCAGCGAACGCCGCGTCCTGATTGGTCGAGGAGGCTCGAGCTCCACCAATCAGGACGCGGCGTTCGCTGGCGGAGGCAGCTTGGTGCAGTCGATGCCACACTTGTGGAACAGTTTATACCTTTTAAGTTGATGTTCAGCTGCTTTCAGTGGGTGTAAAAGAAGCTCACATAAATGAGGAATATCATCAAACGGCTCGATTTTTAAAATGAACTTTAATTTTAGAGCCTCAGAGGAAGTTTTATGGAGGAACACCGCTCGTGCCGCTCGTGCCGACAACTGATTGTTCGTGTTTCACTTGGTATTTATACCAACAAGCTTTACTCAAAAACCAAGAGCCAGAAACATAGATTTGAACAGGCTGAATGCAATCAGCCCACTAAAATTTACATTTGTCGAGTTTTTAACCTCGAAATGTTGAAGTGAAAGGTACCGACCAATCAGGGAGCGGCGTAACACATGGATCCCAGCCGGGCATGAAGCAGTTGGTCTATGGATATAGTTGATTGTCTATGGTCCGAGTACATCATTTTAAAAGTGTTTCGATTCGACACTTTTTCAAAACCAACCTAGCTTATGTCAAATACTTAAAGGCAATGGGAAGAAATATATTTGTAAACCTTCTTACTCCCTTAAACCAGGCTACCTACCTCCTTTCCACTCTGTTTCCGGTTTTGTGATTCTTCTTGTTCTTCAGTCGACGACGACTAAACTAATCTATTCCCGACTGGGCTCAACATTGTTACTTCCGGTACAGGAACGACTTTTGAAATGCCACATCCCAACTCAGGAAGGAGATGCCACAACCCAACTCTCGGGAAGGAGAACAACTGACTTCTCTAGCAGAAGCCATAGCGAATAAGTATAGCAAAAACTAGAAACGGAAAGCTCTGAACATCGCTCACTCTATGACAACGAATTTGTTTGTATGAAGATCAGCTTGATTCCATGGTATGGACCTGAGTTTCACATGGTAATGGAACACTTCCGGATCCGCTAGAAAAGTTTTCTTACACACGCTGCGAATGAAAAAATTTTGATCAACCAAATTTTGGGTGAGATATACTCTGCAATCTCAAGTGTACATGTAGCATGCTTCAGGTTGAAGGATAGTACCTGCAAGTTCACTGTTGCTGTGCTTAATGCACATTCAAAACATTCTTCGGTAAGAGTGTACTTGCAGGTACACGCCACTTGGCGTGTACTTTGCAAGCCTACTCCAACGTGGCGTGTAATATGCCAGGTTGGCTCGCTCCTGGTGGAGTGTACTTGCAGGCATGCTTCACCCGGAAGCATGACACACTTGAGTTTGCAGAGAACTCAATCGTCTAAATTTGAATGGTGATTGTATTATCACCGAAATAAGGATGATGGAGGGGCGTTTCAGCTACCTATATAGCCACTAGCCAGATAGTGGGTACTACCCAAATTGGGGCGGTGAAACGATTCTCAGTCTAAATTTGAGCGCACCGGAACCGGCATCGAGCCGAGGAATTTTACCGCAGGGGAGTGCATGTGCGCCGAGATGTGCACGCTTGTTTGCCTGCGGCGGACCCCTTTTTCCCGGGAAATCCTGTTCCAGGAAGTAGCCTCCTCCACCGGCGCCGCGCCCGTTTCGGACGAAGCCAGTGCACCCACCTGAGCGGCCGCTTCTTCGAGGCCCGGACCGGAGCTTGGAGGCGGAAAGCGCCCGGCAGCGCGGTCGCCCCCTGTGCACAGCCAGCAGCCGTGGATCAGCACGCTAATCCCCGGGCCCGACGGCGGTTCGGGTGGGCTCGGATCGGGCGCCGAAGGCGTGTGTGACTCGGACTCGGCGGAGTCTGGCCTGGCATGGCGACCGTGGAGTGGCAGCCGACCTGTGCAGTGAGCACGTCGTGTCCGACAGCCCGTTGCTGAGTTCCAGTGATGCCAGACGTACCACCTTGGTGGTACATGTACCACTATTTCGAGCCCCGTACCACCGTACCACCACCGAGCGATTCCGTACCACCTTTTCCGGGAAAACACCGGATTAGGTCCGCACGCAGGCAAATGGAACTTTTCGGGCGCCTGGGTCGGAATGTCGTCCCCCAGAAATCGAGCGTGTAATCCTTTGCCTGCGTCCGTGACCTATTCCAAGGAAAGGGGCTCTGATCGGTCAGGTCGGACGCGGGAAACTGAAAGTGCAGTGCCACTTTTGGGCCCCGCCCTGGGCAAGCGGGCAACAAAACGGGCCTGCTTGCTTGTACATCAGCCGGAGGAGCCGCCGCTGACTTCTTCAGAATTCTCAATTTGGCCAAATTCTAAATTCCCGATGTTTACGCCTAGCGTAAATTTTTAGCCCCCCCCCTTTCCGTACCACCATACGGCTCCAATGTACCACCTTTCCCTCACCCCTCGCGTACCACCGAAGAGCCCCGAAGTACCACCTTTTCCCCCTCCCCGTACCACCGAGCGCTGTTCGGCTTCTGGCAACGCTGCTGAGTTCACAGAGCGAGAGCACCCAGGTCGGCCGGTTTAGAAGCCAAGCACATCCAGATTCGAAAGGCAAGTTTTCCCTAGGACGTTGGTTGGTTGGTGGTTCAGTGCAAAGGGTCTTGCCGTTTCCTTCGCGTGTGTAGTGTGTCTCCCATCACGCGGCAGAGCAGTGTTGTTGAAAGTGTCTGAGAAACGACTTGGAGTCGTCGAGATTTCCGTCCCAGAGGTTAGGGCGCCAGTGACCTCAGATGACCTAACAATATCATTACTTTAACGTGACATCACCTTGAAACGAATGTCCCCAAATGAGTGGTCATCTGACATAACAACGTATGTTCATAAGGAATACCACAGTGGGTATGCTATTATGTCCCGATAGCTACAGAAATGTCACGTTCCTTTGAGCATAGTGTGTCTCGCCACAACATGGCGAGACTTTAGTGTCTGACCATTTTGTGGCGGGACTTTTTTTCTGACCAAATTATGGCGAGACTTTGTCTGACCAAAACCAAAACTAAGTCTCGCCTCCGGGAGTGGCGAGAAGTCTGACCTTCGAATTTGTAGTGTGCTCTGCAAACTCTACAGTGTGCTCAGTACACTCTGTTCAGCGTGTACTCACAAGCACACTCCTAGGAGAGTGTGCTCAGCTGAGTACACTCTAACGAGAGTGTGCTTAGCTGAGTACACTCTAACGAGAGTGTACTTAGCTGAGTACACTGCAGCCAGAGTGTGCTTAGATCGGTACAATATATGCAACTGAGTACACGTTCGTGGGAGTGTACTCGTGAGTACACGCTGAAGAGAGTGTACTTATGAGTACACGCTGAAGATAGTGTACTGAGTACACTGTTGAGTTTGCAGAGTGGGCACGGCGCGCAGTGCAGGCCGCGGCACAAAAGACTCAGTTTATTTACATTTTACGATATTTCGATCTCAGAGATGAGAGCATACTGCTATAACTAGCACACGTGACAGTACGAGACGAGTATCGTCTACTTCCATGAACGTTCTTTGAATTGAGATTTTTTTCCCACCGGATTTTTGGCTGTGGTGCGGTGACTTTGCGTTGGTTTACCCCATCACGTGTGCTCAACTTGAACTCTGTTGCAGTCCGCCGCCATGGAGTGCCCCGTGTGCATGGAGGAGCTCGACGCGGCCGGGAGGCGGCCCAAGAGCCTGCCGTGCGGCCACACCGTCTGCAGCCACTGCTTGGAGGGCCTGCGGGAGCGGACCTGCCCGCACTGTCGCAAGGTGAGCCCACACCAAATTCCTTCGAACAATTTTCGTACTTCCTTTTTGATGAAAAGAAAAGACTGTGTTGAACTCTGGCGTGTCTTGCTGTAGGTGTGTAACTGTGTCAGAAACTCTGTCATTCAATTTGCAATAGTTTAACTACAATGTTTGGCTAAGAAAATACTAGTCTGCGATACCCGCCATATCGCACCCTGGAGAGGAAAAATCTACTGATTGCATTATTTTGTAATGACCACCACTTAACTTTTGGGATAAAAGACACTCTTTTAGTAAGTAGTTTTATCGCACGTTTCTTTTTGCCTTAACCTTTTATTGAATTTACCTTTTACGCGTTGTCGCAGAAAAGACATACTTCTGCGGCATTATTTTTTTCATATTTTTTTGTTGAAATTTTTTGGTTTGTTATGGCAAAACACTATGAGTAGCTCCAGACAGACAAAAGCCGCCGGGAAGCACTCTAGGTCTGGCTCCCACCTGTCTTTTCTGTTCATCTAGTGAACACAGGTTGCCGAAACGCCAGTAGGGCCGGATCCAACACCAGTTGTAAATTAATTATGGGTGCCGCACTCTGACAATGGCTGTTTTTGAGGGTTTGGGGCTTTTTAGGATCTCAGAACTTCCCGGCCTAAAAAACTGCCAACACGATTTTTACGCAAGAAAAAACGGGGTTCTTTCGTATGCCGGGTCGCGGGAGGTTCTACGAGGTCGGGTTTGAACGCTGTAGGCTCTCGAAGCTGCTCACTTTCATTATTTTCACTAAAGACTCGGGCAGGGCCGTTCGAAGTGGACCATCGGCGAGCGCATCTTCTGTGTCGCTGCCGCAACAAGATCTGAAAGCGATGCATATGGGATTTCCAGGTTGTGGAATGTTTACTAGGGTTATTTTGCAACCCAAAGCCCTAAATATTTGCTAGGTGTTGTCAAAAGTGGTCCTTGAAATGATAAAAATTTGTCAAAAATTTTGTTGTAACTAGGCAACACATTTATTGCTGAGCTTTTTAAGCGACAAGATTTGTTGGGGAACGAATAACTAGTTGAACCATATTTTCAGAACGTCAGACTTGTAATAACACATCAACAGTCCACCCTGTCCAACATGTCGTTGACCAACAACAATTGTTGTTATTCAACGACAAGTAATGTAAGTCGAAAAAGAATTTATAATGTCTGCGACAAGAGTTGATTGAGTACTTTTGTCGCAAAATTTATTTTTCACGGTTCTACTTAAAACAATAGTAATTTCGGTATGACTTAAAGGAACAAGTTACATGATTATTCATCATAATCTATTTCAATTGAGCAGATAATGGCTAAAGATGTTGTTCACACACAAATTGTATCGTCAATAGTGATAACAAAAATTTTGCTCTTTCACGACAAATTGTTGCTTTCTAGATTCAACTACATGTGTTTCCCTTTGGTTCATGATGAAATTCCATGATTAAGAACGACTAAATTTTCAATCCTTTGATTTTGTTTCTGTACAACCATTTTTCAACAGTGTGTGGGGGTAAGGGTTCTAGTCCTTTAGTATATACTTACAGAATGTAGATCTGATTTTGTCCCCCACCTTTCACTTTCAGTCGATTAGGGAAAGAGTGCCCCTCCCCCCCTCTCCTACCTCAAAAATAAGAAGTGGCCTACCATCCTAGTAACTCTAACTCTGATTCACAGGACTTCGCGGCGCCAGGCTCTGCCATGCCTGACAACTTCACTGTACTTGGACTTGTCGGAAAGAGGAACACTGTGGCAAAAAGGTACGGAAAATCCTGTTAATTTTTTTGCCAGGATTCTCCGTAGCCCTCTTATCAATATTCTCCGTAGGCTCTTACAGTATTCTCCGTAGGGCCGCACAGTATTCTCTGTAAATCCGCACAGTCTTCTCCGTAGGACCTCGAAGACTGTATAGTCCTACGGAGATCACTGTGCGGTCCTACGGAGAATACTGTGCGGTCCTACAGAAAATACTGTGAGAGCCTACGGAGAATATTGATAAGGGGCCTACGGAGAATTACCACAAGCTGTTTACAGAATTTTCCGTAGCTTTTTGCCACAGTGAAGCGAACTGGATCCCCACTGCGCGGCGACTCTCAGGACCCACCTCTAGGGTGGCCCACGCGAAAAAAAAAGTTTCAAAATCGAGAAGCGCCGCACGGAATCTTAAAGTTCGGCCCAAAATAAAATTTTTCCGCATTTTTTCGATTTTTTTGGAGCATTTTTAGGGGTCGCGCAACGCGCTCAAAGTTTTAAAAAAAATAATGAATTTTAGTGAATAATATTTTTTGGTGCTGTAATTCGAGTTTTGGTCGTAAAGAGAAAAGCGAAACGCCGAATTGTTCGTATTGATGCCTAGAATAAGTTAAAAAATACTGCATACCGAATATGCACATGGCCTACTTTCCAGGGGCCAAAAACTGCAAAAAAATAGGGGGAAAATGCCGTATTTTCATCTTTGTAGGCAGATTTGACAACTTTCCCGCCGTCGGATCGTCTTCTCCTATGCGCCAATCGATTCCTCACACTGAGAGGACCCCTAGAAACACTTTGGACTATGCGAGTAAACGACTGCCTATGTTCTAGGGGCGATCAATTTAAAGAAACGTTCAAACATCGTATCTTTTTTCACCTTAAAGGGCCAGTTTGACACCTTTCTGGGCGTCCTATCGTCTTGCTCTGTGCGCCAATCGACTCCCCATGATGCGATAACCCCTTGAAACAACTTGGACGATGCGAGTAAACGAGTTCCTATGTTTCAGGCGTGAACAATTTAAAGAATCGTTCGAAATTAGCGTTTTTTTCACTTTTTGGGGTATGTTTGACACCTTTCTAGGCGTCCTAGCGCCTTGTGCTATGCGCCAATCGATTCCCCATGATGAGAGAACCCTGGAACACAACTTTGATACTATGGGTTGAGGATTGGCTACCTGTCGGGTGCCATCAAATCAAGAAAAGCATGAAAGGGACCTCTTTTTAAGCCGTTTTGGCCGGTTTCGCACAATTTGCAGCCTTAACCGCCATCTGATCACCGCCAATCAGGTATTAACCGTTTCCTCCCATCGTCCAAGGTGTTTCTAGGGGTTCTCTCATCATGAAGAATCGATTGGCGGATAGAACAAGACGATGGGACGCCTAGAAAGGTGTCAAACTGACCCCAAAAGGTGAAAAAAACGCTAATTTCGAACGTTTCTTTAAATTGTTTACCCCTGAAACATAGGAACTCGTTTACTCGCATCGTCCAAGTTGTTTCAAGGGGTTATCGCATCATGGGGAGTCGATTGGCGCACAGAGCAAGACGATAGGACGCCCAGAAAGGTGTCAAACTGGCCCTTTAAGGTGAAAAAAGATACAATGTTTGAACGTTTCTTTAAATTGATCGCCCCTAGAAAATAGGCAGTCGTTTACTCGCATAGTCCAAAGTGTTTCTAGGGGTCCTCTCAGTGTGAGGAATCGATTGGCGCATAGGAGAAGACGATCCGACGGCGGGAAAGTTGTCAAATCTGCCTACAAAGATGGAAATACGGCATTTTCCCCCTATTTTTTTGCAGTTTTTGGCCCCTGGAAAGTAGGCCATGTGCATATTCGGTATGCAGTATTTTTTAACTTATTCTAGGCATCAATACGAACAATTCGGCGTTTCGCTTTTCTCTTTACGACCAAAACTCGAATTACAGCACCAAAAAATATTATTCACTAAAATTCATTATTTTTTTTAAAACTTTGAGCGCGTTGCGCGACCCCTAAAAATGCTCCAAAAAAATCGAAAAAATGCGGAAAAATTTTATTTTGGGCCGAACTTTAAGATTCCGTGCGGCGCTTCTCGATTTTGAAACTTTTATTTTCGCGTGGGCCACCCTACCCACCTCTGAAGTGCGTACTAGTCCATATACCTCGCCTTAAACGAAGAAGACAGTGTCTTCCTTTCTTTGCACAGCTTCGCGCTGTAATGTCCACATGTTCAATGTTATGCGGAGACTATATAGTCTATCTAAACAGATTTATTTGTATTTTTTGAGAATTTGGTTCAGTCTTATATTTTAAGTTAAGATGTATCCTAAGATCGTTTTGTTTTTGAAGCTTTTGCTTTCATGCTTCTCTTATTGTTCTTTCGTGTTTAAAAGTTCCCCTTAACTCTACAGAACCTTTCCATGCGCTTTTTCCGGTTTGATTTTTCCGGTTTTGATCACTTTTCTACTATTTTTAACAGTCGTGGGCGCTGGCAACCCTGAATTGTTTGCAAAGCTGTGCATTATAGAAAATATTCCATGAACTGAAGTATTACCAATGGGTCCTGCGCAGGCTGTGGTGCCGTGACTGCGGCAAGGCGGCTGCGGAGGCGTGCGCCGACCTCGGCCACACCCTCCGTTCGCTGCGCAAGGCGCGGTCGGAGCGGGCAGCGCCAAGGCTGCAGCAGCTGGAACGCGCGGCCACGGCGGCGTCCAAGGCCGTGCAGACGCTGGAGGACGCCAAGGACGCCGTGGAGGGCCTGCTGCAGGGGTGGCGGGCCTGGCTGCGGCGGGTCCAGCAGGCCCGCAGGGAGCTCCGCGCGGCGGCGGACGAGGGCGGCGACCTGGAGGCTGGCCAGCCGTTGGGCCTGCAGCACCTGCAGGACGCGGCCAGCCTGCTGGAGGGCATGGAGTGTGGGCTGCGGCACCAGGGCGGCACCGAGTGGAGGGGCGACCTGGGCGCCGGCCGGAGCCTGCTCGACGCGCTCGTGTTGCACCTGCACCGCGACGGCCGCATCCGCAAGGTACGTACGCAGGGACGGCACCGCACTGATAAAATGTAGTAACTTAGTGACACATTTGTCGCTAACTTTTTTAACAACAAGATTTGTTGTGGAATGAATAGCTTGATAACCATAGTCGTTCCGGAACTAAAGGATAATTTCACAACGACTAACTTATAATAACACATCAACAGTCCACTTTCAAAAACAAGTCGTCGACCAACAACAAATGTTGTAAGTCAACGACAAGTATTGTAAGTCGAAAAAGATTTTGTTATGTCTGCGACAAGTACGCATGGAGAACTTTTGTCGCTAAATTTATTTTGCACGGTTCTATTTTTATCAAAAGTAATTTCACTATGACTTGGCGAACAAAATAGATGAATTTTCATAATATGCTTTAATGGAGCAGATAATTGCAAAAGATGTTGTTTCCACACAAATTGTATCGTGAAGGGTGATAACAAAGAATATTGTTCTTCAACGACAAATTGTTGCTGACTTGAGTCAACGACATTTGTTTCGCTTTGATTCATGATGAAATTCTATGTTTTGGAACGACTAAATTTTCACTCATCTGATTGTTTCTGTACAATCATTTAACAGTGCGAGTACACGACAAAAAGTATCGGGGTTTCCGAGGCGGACCCTGGGAAAAGGGGTTATTTTCCGGGGGGGGGGGAGGGGGTGTCATTCCATGACTTTGGGGCCACTTTCGTAGGTGAGCATCTCCGATCTTGATGCAATTTGGGTCACTTATTGTACCCTCTAAGAAAGAATTTGGTGCAAAATCTCAGTTGGATCGGACGAAAACTTTCGGAGATACCGAGGTTTCTGTGTATTTTCAAAAATGGGCTGAAATCGACTTGGAAAAGACATGATGTTACTTTTTGTACCGCGCCATCGTCAATATATAAGCTTCAGGTTCATGTAGTCTGACGCCTCTGACTAAGGTAGGTACTTAGCCAAACTAGCCCAGGGAGTCCCGGAACCCCCTCACACCAATCGAAAGTTAAAATCCAATCATATATTCAGATTCCCCATTCTTTTGCGCTTCCAACGAACCTCTCTGTTTTGCTGTAGCTCAAATATTAACGATGGCACGGTGCAAAACTTAATATAATGTCTTTTCAAACCTCGATATCTCCGGAAGTTTTAATCGGATCCGACTGAGATTTTGCACAAAATTCTCTCTTGGAGGGTACTGTAAAGTTACCCAAATTGCATCAGAACGGAGATGGTCACCTACGAAAGTGGTCTCGTTGTCATGGAATGCCCCAAGAAGCCTACGAAACCCGGGTTTACAGAAGCACCTTCATAACTTTTTATTGCTTTTACGGCACATCTGAACATATGAAACATCACACTCAACAGAACGTGAAAACAGTCTTATTACATGAACATGACATCAAGTTAATACCAATGTGACAAGATGTCACGTTCCTTTGAGCATTGTTTCACCGTCTGAACGAGATGTCACGTTCCTGGCGAGGGGGCAAATACTCGCGCAATCATGTGTACACGGCCCCCGAAATCACACGCGAATCATTGAGAATCACGCGAAATCAAGCAATCCGAAATCAACCAAAATCACTAAAATCGACCGAAATCAGGCAGAATAACAGGAAACCAGGCAAAATCAGTCCGAAATCATTTCTTTCCGAACACAGTCACACACAATAACGCTCGACATCACTTCGCGAAAGAAGGCAGAATCAGCCATGAAATCAATTGAAACCATGCGCAATCATTGCGTTTTCCGAATCATGTGTACACGAAAATCCCGAGCTTTTGCCCCCTCGCGTTCCTGGACTGAGAAAGAACTCACATATCGAATAAGACGTGACCTTGAATAATAGTGAAAAGTTCTTAAAGAGCGCTCTCAGACCAGATTCGTCAGTATGAAAACTTGATTTGATGTGCCTCAGCATCAGCCCGCAGTGGCTGCCCCGCCCCCAGCTCGGGACTGCATTCATGGGTTGGACCTGCTCCCTCTCAGTCGCTTTCCACCAGGCGCGCGGCAGGCAGAGAAGGCGGCCACACTGGCCAGCGTGCGCCAACAAGGGGTGAGTCCGGCTGCTGGTGCGCCTTGAGGCCCTTTTGTTGTCTTCCTCTACCTCCCTCCGTGTGTGTCGCTGACGCTGTCTGTCTACAGGTGCGGTGGATGTCCATTGACTGCCTCGTTGACCCTGCCTGGGTACTGAACGTGCTGCGGAGTACCGCCCCCACGCTGGAGAAGCTTTCCTTGACGAATCCCCGCGAGGAGCACCTTCTGGCTGTGCACGCCATGCCCAGACTGCGGCGGATGAAGTTGTGGTGTAATGACGGTGCCCTGGACGCACAGCCACCCGCGGTGCCCGCCCTGTCACTCGGCGGCGGCCTCAAGTGGCTGCGTGTTGCTGGACTCCCCCGGGCCACCCTGGCCTCCCTGCTACGGGCCCACAGTGCCTCGCTGGACCTGCTGTGGCTGATGGTCGGTACTTGGGGGGGCGGCCCGTGGCCTAAAGGATGCGACGACCTGGACGCCCTGCTGGGCCAGTGCGGCCTCCGCGTGTCCAGGGTCGTGCTGGGGAGATGGTCCGCCAGCCACTTTGACTCAGCCTGCCTTGCGCAGGTGTCCGCCGTGCGGCGCGTGCTGCCGGCCGCCACGGTGCAGTGCTATGAGTGTGACCAGGTTGCATGGGAAGAGTTTTAGCGCGGCGCGCTCGAAGGGGCAGGGCAGCAGGCGAGACCCTCCAGTGTGGCGTGCGGGGAGCCGCCCGTTCGGGGAAGCAGCGCACAGTGCAGTGGCCTCGCAGAGAGCACTCTACGTTGGCTAAAGCCTTCATGAGTTTGCTGGTTTCTGAGCGTTAGAAGTTGGACTGCCGCACCCAATCTGTCGTTAGATTGCCTTTGTCGTCACGTATATCCTCTGCTACAAAAAGACTTGGAAGGAAAGACAGGAATGCTCAAGTGCCCTTCTTGGCTCGCGCGCTCTGGACTTAAAAGAAAACCGTTTTATCAGTCATGGTGCGGATAGACTTATTGAGTTGAATGAATTGTGCAATGATCCTCCAAATATATTGAGTCAGATTCCACAAAAAGATGTCTTTTGTTTGTCTGCGAGACGTTTACTCGTTGCTATTCGTTTCTTTCTATTTGAGGAACAACTGTGAAAGCGTTCGTTTTGTATACGAGGTTCCACTTTATCATAGTGTAACTTTACGTTGTTGTTTTTGCTGTGTGTTCTCGTTACTGCTGACTTTACCGCGAAGATGCCATTATTCTACTTAGGATGAGTAAGCTGTTCCATTTATTTTTCACAACTGTTACTGTTAATTTCTTGAACGTGTTAAGGAAGGTAAATTGTTGCAACGTCTCTTTTTTGGTTACTTTTTTTACTACTTTTAAGGTTATTGTGTGTGGCAAACCTTAACTCGCATCCCTTTTATTAAAAATTGTAGAAAGAGTATATCTTTTTTTTGTCCAGTGACTTGGCCAAAGAGCATCTTGTGCTGTGATGAATTGTCCTTAAGTCATTTAAAATTTCAACTGCAAACACCGGTAAAATTAAAGCGTGGCACTGCCTTCTCCTCTGTTTTTAAACGTCATCAGTTAACGCTTGAAATCAAGGGTACAGTCACACAGTCACCTCTGGTTAGCTCCCTGCACCCGGGAGGAGCCGGGGACAGCTTACCAGAGGCCAAACTGGGACAGCTAACCACAGGTGACTGTAGTAGGCTATGAAAGTTGACCATGAGAATACTATTTTCACAAAAAGCCTATAGCCGAAAATGAAAAATTAAATTTGATAATAGCGGGAAAATGACTGAAAACGGACTACTTTGAATGCATCATGAGCAGCTCACCATTAGTAAACGGTGCAACCAATCGGCGTGCCACACGGCCTCACGGAATGAAACGTTTTTTCTCAGACCGCGTGACGGACGGGAGGTTGACCGTGTTTTGCGTCGTCTCGCGAGTTGCCCCGACACCAGCCATGGGCGTTGCAGCCCCGTGGTTTAAGCATGCCTGCTGGTACGCTCCTCCTTGAGCCAACCTGACATGTACACTCCGCGGTGTAGCATGCTTGCTAAGTACACGCCAGGTGGCGTACCTGTGTGCAAGTACACTGTTGCTCTGCTTCATACATGCTTAAGGTTGGGGTTAAGCAACAGTGTAAGTACTTGCAGGTACGCGCCATCTAGCGTGGACTTGGTGAGCATGCTCCTGCTCCAGCGTGTATGCACATGTCAGGTTAGCTCCAGGTGGAGTGTACTCGAGGCATGCTTCAATCTCAAGGAGAAATCACTGAATTTCGGTGTACAAATCCTATGAGTTTCAGACGAATTTCGGTGAATTTCGGGCAAAACAACTGAATTTTGAGAGGAATGTCGACGAATTTCAATGAATGAAATTCATCAAACGTTTTAAAGTTTCGGTGTACCAATTTGAGTGCAGAACTTCGCCCTTGTTCAACCTAAGGCATGCTGCGTCGACTCTTGAGTTTGTATGGTTGCACCCTCTTGCACCCCACAAATGATCGTAGTTCAACCATATACTTTTTTCAAAATCACACTCAAAGGACCCTCTTTTCGTTGGTACTACGTGTATGCGGGCGCATTTTGACCTAGGCTCTCAGAAAATTTCTCTCTGCCCTGCTAGTTTATGGACCACTACTCGGATTAGGCAGCGCGCGGCATACATTTTCAGCACGCTACTATCGTATTGTTGCTTATACAAATACGTTATTAATGAGAAAAAAGTTGGTAACGTGCTGAGAGTGCACGCAGGCAAGTCGGCCGCCACCAGAGCGCGTTCCTAACGCCGCCGAGGCCAAGTCGCCACAGATCGCTACCGCGTCGCGCTCACGCCGCCACTCTGGCGCCGCGGGTCGCGATCGCCACCGAGGAAGCTTCCGCCAGCCTACTCGTCCGGGGAACGCGGAGAACTCCCTAATCCCCAATCCGCCGGCCGAGCGGCGACCCACATCGCCACTGGTCGCCGCCGATTCCACGAAGTCGCCACTCGGAAGCCGAAGTGCCTGTCGGCTGGCCGCCGCCGCTTCGGGCAACGCTGCTCCTTCCTGGGACTGGATTTGCCGGTAAAGGGCTCCGTCGCCGTCCAAACCGGGCACGGGCACGGGAAAGAGGCCCGTCGACGGCCGGACTGAGGCAAACAGGCGTGCACGTGAGCTTCGGAGAAGAAATTCTAGAGCCCACACTCTAAAAACCTTTCAAACCAATGTGTTTGTAAGCTTGCGAAGAGTCTCACCTGTTCGCAATGCGAAGATCGCATCCGTATTGCAAATCCCTAGTTCGCAATTTGCGAACAACCGCACAGTGCGGCCAAAAGGCGAAAAGTGCGACATGGCCCTTTCTGGGTGTTTTTCGATTTATAAGGACAAGGGATTATGGTTTTTGGTGGAAAAAGTGGTTTTTGATCAAAACCTGGTCATATAGGGGTCAAAAACTGTAAAAAACGCAAAAAATGCCCCAAAACGCCCCAAATTCCACCATTTTTAACTCGGTTTTTGGCTCTGATTTCCACGATTTTAGGAATCCGAAACTTTTCTTTGCAGATTCTGAAAGCTAAGAATGAGAGCTATAAGTTTGTCTTTGGGGTCGACACTGTAGCGAGATCGGCTATTCGAGATATTTGGCCTCAAATATTTTTACATTTCATCATTTCCACTAAAAATACCAGATTTTACTCGTTTTTTGGCTTTTTCAAGAGCAACTTTGTGAATCCGAAACTTTTCTTGACATATTCTGAAAGCTGAGAACACGAGCTACAAAGTTGCTTCAGGGGCCCACACTGTAGCAAGATCGGCTGTTCAAGATATTTGGCCTCAAAGATTTTTGTAATTCATCATTTCCACTAAATTGTCAAATTTGCGCGCCCCTTCGTGTTGATGCGAGTATTTTTGGATCTTGGTTCCGACCATTCGTTGAAAAGGTCTCATCATGACCTACTCGATTCAGGAATAAAAGAACGATAACGCTGCAGATGATACTGACCAGGTTAATTTTAGTGTATCGCTATTCGTGATTTACACGTGCATGGTTTAATGGACGAAAATGTTAATTTTGATTAAACTATTGAAGGTTTTGTGCGAACAAGTTCCTCATATGCAACGCTAGACCAGCCGCCTTATCAAGATTAATCCGGCATTGAGCTTAAAGCACATGAAGCACCAGAAGCCATGCTAATACGACAACCACTTTTAATTTTTAAAAAAATTTGAATGGTGCATTGTAAAGAAAGGGAGGATACGATTAAAACAATAGAAGAGTTGTGTATATGTACAATTGATTGTTCAACCGCTAGAGACGAAAAACCGCAAAAACTGGACACGCCGGGACAGCCTACGCCTGTGTAGAGAAGAGCACGGATGCGGGTTGGGGCTGAGGACCGAGGCGGCTGTTCAACGCTGTTTATCGCTGTCGGCTTGAGTATCCGAAGCCACAGGCTCTGCCACAACTGCTACGTACTTTTCGCTACAACTGTTTAACTGCTATGTGCTATTGCCGCATTTGCACTTGCTTTGGTATACACTGTTAAAAAAAGTCTGAAAATTCAGACCAATTTTTTCAGACCTAGTGGTCTGAATCTGTAATTCAGACTTGAGTCAGAATTTTCAGACGGTTGGTCGTAATTTTACACCTTGTGGTCTGAAAAATGAGTTTCGGACTCAAGAGTCTGAATATTTGGATGGCGTGGTATAAATTTTCGGCATCGGGGTCTTAAAACAGTCAATTGTAGTAGAGGGTCTGAATTTTCATCCTGCGCAGTCTGAAATTGACGCTTTATTTTCTAATGAGAGGCATGACTGCGTTTCAGGTGCGATGGACCCTGAATTGCCAAACCAATACTTAATAAACTTTTGCTCAGCTAAGCGAACGGCCATCTAGTGTTGAGTTTAAAATCGGCCTGCACTCCACTGGAAGCTGCAGGATGCGACACGTTTGCCCTGGTTCCGGCCTGAACCGAAGCCCGGGTCACTCGAGCCGAGCCGAGTCGAGCCGAGCCGCTCCGGCGGCGGCCAGCCGAGCCAGGTACACCGAGCCGAGCCGGGGCTTTCGGAAAATCACCGCTGACCGGCGTGCCGGCCGAAGCCTACCTGCGCGGGGCGGGGGGAGAGGAAGGGGCCCTTAATCCCTCGGCCACTCGGGATTTCTGGACAGAATGCGTCAGTTTTAGCTTGTCTCCAGAGCAGTGCACATCGCATCCGAATACAAGTCCGCGTCGCGTGTCATCTTTCTTGTGGCGCTCCGTCGTGAAGCAACGTTTTATGTGTTACATCGGCGCTCAGCGCAGTGTGTACAGTGCCGTTTTGCCTTCGCCTTTCCGCGCCCAAAAATTACTTCTGGGTGCGTGCAGTCAGCACTCTGAAGCATCCGAAATCCGCGGCAAGCAGGCTGCGAAAGTGGCGTAGCCTTATGCTGACATTGCGTCTTCCAAACTGAAGGGACGGGTGATGAGCGTGCGGGTGGCGTTTTGGAAATTTGCCACTCTTCTCTCATCCTTGTCCCCAAAGTATTTTCATCGTGCCGAAAAAGTTTCCACAACGTGTGCATCTGGTTTCAACATTCTGCTGTCCAGTGTTTACAGCTGCATCTTCTGGAGTATTACATTCGAGGACTAGGTTTTTTTGGGAAGCCCTCGCAGCAAAATATCATATTTAGTTAAAGTTTTGCGCAACTTTGGGTGCTACAATTAATAACAAGAGCTGTTTTAAAACTGTTCTATTTAGTGCATGTATTCCATGTTTATCAGCAATTTAAAACATGCATCTTCAAACCATAATATACATCCTGACAAAAGTGGTAATTTTATTACCTGGGCGGCATAGAATTCAAACCCGCGAGGTGAAAAATTCAGACTGCCAATTGGTCCGAAAATTCAGACTACCTGGTAGTCGTAAAATTCAAAGTACATGCTAGTCTGAAAATTCAGATGACAGGTGGTCCGAAAGTTCAGAGTGTCCGGGGGTCTGAAAATTCAGACCACGGGGTTTCAAAATTGACTTCATCCTAAAAAGTCTGAAAATTCCGACTTTTTTTTTAACAGTGTACGTGTGATTGCAAAACTGCGATCGAGA